AGAAACTTGATTCCGGACCGACAGAGTCGGATCATTTTGTTGTTGTTTGTTGGTTGATATTTCCGCCGGTAACACTAGTATTATCATTTTGTGTAAGGTGCTATGTGAGGCTAAAGTGATAGCACGAAGCCTCTATCACAATGCACATCATAATTAAAGCTCAGAATAAATAATGATGACATTAAGCATTTTTATTAAATATTTAAAGTATTCTAATAACGAATAACATATTTTAAAGCTTTACATTTTGTATGATAATTATCAAATATCAAATATCAAATATCAAATATCAAATATCAAATATCAAATACAAGTCACTCTCGTTATAGTGAAGTTGTTGGGTTGAAGAATTTTCTTCACTATATTCACTATATTAAAGGCTCTTGATATAATGATCCGCGTGGGAACCAGTGAAATATCATAGTAAAAAGTAGTATATGTTTACTAAATATTTTTCCTTTTTTGGAATAACTTATTTTTTTATTATGTAAACCTTCTAATAAAAATTATAGAGGCAAAAATTCCGATTATAATGTTGTTAAATGCTAAAATCGGTCCGTGGTCACGAGATATAAGCGTTTTAGTCTTTGTGGCTATATGTTTGCTTCTTTGTTTTGATCATATAGCCGCGAAGACTAAAACGCTCATATATCACGATCCACTAGGCCAATTTTAGCGGTTTAATAACTCTTATAACTGAAAATTTTACCTCTACAAGTTTATTAAAAGCACAAATAAGATTTGCTTAATAAAAAATAAGTTATCTTTTGGGAAACTTCAGATTCCAAATTTAATAGTGAAACCGGGTACAGCGGCGAGTCATAACGATCTAATTCCTTGAGTGACCTACGGTTAGCTTGGTCGAAAACAAGCGTTTAGATTTGGTCAGTGGTTTGGGTTCCGTGGGTGGGTATCTCTATTATCCAGGTAATTTCTATTCTTTCTTTAACCTTAGCTACTGTAAAAATTTGAGTTATTACATTTTAATTCAAATGTATCAGGTTGGTGTATAACGCTTAATGAGATTACCAATAATATACATGTAGTATAAACATATAAGTTTAAAATAAAGTACACCTCCTGGCGTCCTCCATTATGGGGTAAAAAAAATAAAAATAAAAAAATATTATAAATGTTAAAGCATGGATTTACCTGGTAATTAATATTTAAAGATACATTTATAGCTGAAATTTCATGCCAGAAAATTTTATTTAGAAGGCATACTGTAGTAAAGAAGTAAATAGTTTTTTTTTTAATTTTTTATGTTACACATGATCTTGGAGTCACCTGGAAAAAATGGTAGCCGGATAGATCTGCTAGGTGACACGAAATTTCGGATGCATATGATTGGTAGTTTAAATACCGGTAACTGACTCTAATTTTTTTAAAAACTTTGAGCGAAGGTATCTCAATAACCATCTAACTAATTTTGATGAATTTTTTTTATTTGAATTCTATACTTATGTAGAATTCGAACAAAAAAAAAAATTATCGAAATTTGTTAAGTTATTGTAAAACCTTCATTCAAAGTTCGAGAAAATTCTTCCCACCTATAACCAATTTTTAAAAAAGGTTTCTCAACAATCACCTAACCAATTTTGATAAATTTTTTTTTATTCAAATTATAAATAATTGTAGAATTCGAATAAAAAAAAATTCATCTAAATTTTTCAGTGGTTGTCGAGAAACCTTCGCTCAAAGTTTTTAAAAAAATTAAAAATAACTTGTTTGATTATAGGCAAGAACTTTGAGCGACGGTTTCTCAACAACCACTGAACAAATTTCGATTAATTTTTTTATTTATTCGAATTCTACAATTTATGTAGAATAAAAAAAATCCATCAAATTTATTTAGGTGGTTGTTGAGAAACCTTCGTTCAAAGTTTTTAAAAAAAATTAAAAATAACTTGTTTGTTTATAGGCGGGAATAATTTTCTCTAACTTTGAGCGAAGGTCTCTCAACAATGACCACTGAAAAAATTTCCATGAATTTTTTTTTATTCGAATTCTACATAAGTGTAGAATTCGAATAAAAAAATTTTCATCTAAATTGGTTAGATGATTGTTACCAGAAGATCTATCTGGCTACTATTTTTCCGGTGACGCTAGGGTCGTTATTTCATTGGCTAAAAATTTTCAAATTGAAGTTTGTAGTAAGATCGATTAAATTTTTATAGTTAGACAAAAAATACACACTAATGGAAATAATAAGATAAAAGATGCAGATGAAACTGAAGCATTGGGACAAACTGTATTAAAACTTAGTAACTAATTAAAAATATGGCAAATTGAAATTTGTGAATATATTGATATAGTTACATTATAACGTAACTTATGTTATATGCTGTAACTTTTTTGTTATATCTGATATGCTGTAACTTATGTCGTAACTAGTGTAAATATTCGCACGTTGTAAAGGTCAATTTTGACCCTCCGGAAATACTGCGCTTCGACGTAGTACGATGTTCTATTTTTAGTTGTAGATTCTTGATTAACCTGTTTATAGTACAAACATGTATAATTAGAAGCCTTAACGTAGACTAGTGTTAATCCTTCCCCATATTTAGTATGAAATATCGAACAAAAGGTACCGTGAAAATATCAAAAAAAATTTTCACTGGACATTACGTCATCATAAAAATTTTAATCAGAAATGTTACATATGAGTGCGTGAGAGTGAAAACCAGGACGTCTAAAAATAGATTATTATGAAATTCATAATAATCTATTTTAGACTTCCTGGTTTTCACTCTCAAGCACTCATATATCTGATACAGTATATATATATATATATATATATTAGTCATACTTTATCGTTCGCCTCTTTCTTTCTTGTGTTGATTGTGTTTTTTGTTTTGTAATTTGCTGTGCTCAATTTCTGAGCTAAAGACACTTTGTCTGCTTCCTTTTCCTCATCTTTGTTCCGATTATTTTATTGATTTGATTTCCACGTTACACCTGATCTTGCAATCTCGTTCTACGTATTTAAGCGGAAATATAACACTATTGTGTCTATTGTACATTGGCAAAAATGCGTATAATTAAACATTTCCCAAATTAAGGAATGTGTATAATTAAATATTTCTAAATTAAGAAATATGTTTATTTTTAATTATAAAACTTGTTTAAGAATTATTACTGTTACAGGTTGTACAGAATGTTTATTTCGAACAGTCGATCTTGACTAGGAAAAAAGAGACAAAGAATAAAGGAAAAATTCCTTTGAAATTAAATGTAACGCATTTTAAAATTGAATATTGATTTACATTACGATTAATGAGAATTAGAAAGTATTAAAGAACCAATTTGTAATTGGTTTGACTATCTGTAATTTTCTATTTAAACGTTAAATTTTGCATTAGCCCACTATATCTAGGCTCATTTTAACGATCATTCTACTTCTCTCTTTAATATTACCTTGTACTCTTGATTAATCCAATTTTAATATACGAGACTAAACCGTCTATATTCTGCCCTTTGGTTTTATCTTTTAAAATTGGGTTTACATAAAGTTTCATTATTATTAGTGAAAATCATAAATTATAGCAGGCTATAAACTTACAATTTTATAAATACTAATTATGAAACTACATATGCACCTTGCTACGTTAATTGTTATCATCATTACCATTTCATCCATCGTTTTTGCAATCCCAATACCTCCACATACTTCCGATGAGTTTTCCTCCGATTATAAGAAGCGTAAGTTCCATTAATTATTATAATACATTTTTTTGTAACTTTAATAAATAAATTTTTTTTTTTTTTTTTTTTGAATTAGATGGTGAAGCACCTGCATCTGGATCTAAAAAAGTGCCAGCTTCACCTATTCGCTGTTGGTTCTGTGAAGATTGTTGCTATTAGTTTACAAGGTAGAGAAGTTAGAAACGATATATTTTGAACATTCGTTCTGTCAAAATTTGAATGCCCGTACATTCATTTGAATTCTTTGTGATCTTTTGTCTTATTTTATAAAGATTTTTGTATTTATCACAACCTGTGATTTGCAGGTTATATATATTGGGCCTTAACAATAAATTTAATGTTCTGATTGACCTTTGCGTTTATATTTTTGAAATAGTAAAACCAAGTACTGTACGTACGTACGGTACGTAGTATGTAAATATAATTTACTAGTAATAAAACATGAATGTGCCTTAGTAAAAAGCAACTTGAGTAGGATATGTGTTTTTGAAATCTGTGAATTGAAAAAAAATAATTAAAATATTAAGAACCCAAATAACTTTGCAAACAAACTCAGAACTCAAGCCTGTGGTATAATCATATCATGACGCACCCCATGTTCCAAATTATCACATAATATTCCAGAATCCAGCTTAAAAAACGCCTGTAGTAATAAAAATCTATTTTAAAATTTGATGAAATGCAATTAATACTAATACACTTTTAATCTAACTATTCACTTACATATTTTTATTTCGTTAAATGTTTTCTCGAATTTTGGCTCTATTCATATCTATTTAAGATGGAATTTCGTTGATATAGATAAGTGGTCAAAGATTAATTAATAATTAATGTTAATTTAAATGGATGCGAATTTTCAATGTTGGATTTTCTAATTTAAAGTACATGTGTTGCCTGTCAGAATTTTTGATCTCACAATCAATAATACCGTAATATATTATTATTATTATTTACTTTATTTTGTGGCTACGGATAAGTGTTATATCTCGTGTAAAATAACCTTATTGCCTTGAGAAAAAGTCTTCAATTTTCTTATGTATTTGGTTGAAACTCAGCATAAATTTTGATTTATAGTTATTGGCGGAAGGATTCGCTGAAGTCGATTTGGTAAACCAGCCAAATTTAACGAACTATTTTATATATGGGCTTCACTAGTTGAAAAGGTGAAATTCGACCTCTAATTGGAGGTTGAATTTCAAATTTTTGGTCGAATTCAGGTCAAATCGGCCAAAAAATTCGACCTATAATCAACCTATAATCAATCTAAAAACTACCAATCAGCTTAAAATCAGCATCTGATTTTAGGTTGAATATTTAGTTTTAAAATTCGACTTAAAATCAGATTTCGAATTTAGGTCGAATTTTATAACTATTCAACTTAAAATTAACCTCTAAATTTTGAGGTTGATTTTAGGTTGAATAGTTATAAAATTTAATCTAAATTCAGAGTTTGATTTTAAGTCAAATTTTAAAACTAACTATTCAATCTAAAATCAGATACTGATTTTAAGCTGATTGGTAGTTTTTAGGTTGATTATAGGTTAAATTTTTTGGTTGATTTGACCTGAATTCAACTAAAATTTTGAAATTCAACCTTCAATTAGAGGTCAAATTTCACTTTTTTAACTAGACTTGGTGTTATAGAAAAGAGGTAAATTGACAAAAAAAAAGATCTTTAGTAAATTATAGAAATTGACTAATTTTCACCTTTAGTAATGCATAATCATCTGTAATTATTATTATAATTTTGTATAATGTAGTTATAAAAATAAACAAAAGAATATTGAACTCTCTTTGTAGATTACTCAGACCAATTTTTAATCAGAAAAAAAAATTAAAATATCTCAAAATTTTGATTAAAAACTAATACAAAAGTTACTAATAAAAAGAAAAGTAGACAAGATTTCATATATACTGAAATAAAAGAATAGAAGATTATAAATAAAAACAAGAATACTTGAGAAACCTTTATCAAAAAAACAATAAAAAAATTTTTTTAGAAAAATTTGAAGATTTGCAAATATCTTGAATCATAAATTATTCTTATAACACAAACACATATAAGATAAGATAAACAAATAAATATATCAAAAGAACTAATTATATGTATCACATGCAAGTTACTAAAGAAGAAATATATAAGCCCAAAACTAAAAAGTTTACAAATATATAGAAAAAACTCTAGAGATTTAGAAAAAACTATGAAGTTACTTCTAAATATCAAAACTAAAGATACAAGTTAAA